TTTTAAATGGCTGAAGCTTGAAAGGCATCTTTTTAAAACTTTTAATGCATCAAATCATCAGGTGAACTAAGTAAAAATGACAATTCTGGTGGGAAACTGATAGAACTTTATTTTGTAACACTGTTGAATTTGCTCATAACTTTCTGTTGGTGTTAGTTTGCTTTATATTGCTGTAAGAAACACCATGAACGAAAGCATTGAAGATGAAAGTCTTCATGTAACCACAGATGTTAAATGTCTATCATTAAGGTGTAGGGGAAAAGGGCAAGCCAAAGAAACACATCCTGGCCCAGAAACCAGAACCAAAGAAATACTCTACCCCTGACCAACTCATGACAAAAACCAACCATTCCCTGAGCATGAAACCCAGACAATCTCTGAGCTTGTCCAAGCTCAGGGATTCGAATCCGATGAATTGCCACCGTGAAAATATCTACCCTTTGAGAAACTGTGATCCTAAGAAGTCCTCTATCGGCCCTTTGCTTGTTAAGTTGGAAGCTGCCTTTTTCCTCCCTGGCAAAAACAGCACCTTCCTTGATTCTTCCCTCCCAATAAATCTCTTGAATGCAGTTTGGGTGAGATGAAACCAAAAATGGAGCAGAACAGAGAAGGAACAACTTTTGCTGGAGCAGAGCAGAAGTGTAACATTTTTTTATTTTTCATGTGTCTGGGGAAACCTCCCAAGCAGAGCTGAGTTGTTAAACTCCCAGGGACCTGGGCAGAACTGTAACCACTTTACTGGGGAAACCCTCCCCTGCTGGAGCAGAGCTGTTACATTGGGAAACCTTTCCCTGGAGCAGGGCTGGAAGCTGCTGTGCTTAGGGTGACTGTGTGGTATTCCTGGGCTCCAGACTGCCAGGATCCCTTTCCATCTTTCCTGCTATGCTTAGAGAATTTTTTATATTAGTGTCTGTCTTAGCTGTAGGGAAAAAGGGCCAGTCAAAGAAACACACCCTGAGCAGAGCCAAAGAAACACACTTTGTCCCTGAAACCAGAACCAAAGAAATGCACCCTGGCCCTGAAAACCAGTGCCACAGCAACCCACCTTGTCCCTGGAATCAGAGCCAGTGAAAGAAACAGACCCTGGCCCTAAAGCAAGAGCCAAAAGGCTAAAAAGGACCAGTGAAAGAAACCCACTTTGGCACAGAAGCCAGAGCCAAATAAACAAACTCTTTCTCTGACCAAACTCAGCACAAAAACCAAACAATACGTGAACATGAAACCAGCCAATATCTGAGCTTGTCCAAGCTCAGGGATTCAAATCTGACCAGTCCCCATCCTGAAAATCTCTGTTCTTTTCCACCCTGGAGGGGGCAGTCACCTCCTGGATTCTCCCCTGCCAATAGATCTCTTGAATGTGGTTTGGGTGAGGACAGACCATCTATTGCCTGAATGGAGTAGAACAGAGAAGGAACAAAGCAGAAGTGTAACGGCGTGTTTTCTTTTCATGCTTTTGCTGGGGAAACCCTTACTCTACTGCAGGAGTAGAGCTGTTACACTGGGGAAACCCTCCCCTGCTGGAGCAGAGCTGTTACATTGCGAAACTTTTCCTCGCAGGAGGGCTTCAAGCTGCTGTGCTTATGGTGATTTTGTGGTACTTCTTGGCTCCTGACTGCCAGAATCCCTTTCCATCTGAGCTGCAATGCTTACATAGGGAAGTCGAGTCAGAATGTCAAGGCAAGAACCTAGAGGCAGAAACCAAAGCAGAGACAGTGGAGAAATGCTGCTTCCTAGCTTGGTCTCCAAGACTTGCTCAGTCAGCTTTTTAAAGCAACCTCCAGACACATTTCCGAAGTGGCTTCACTAGTTTATAGTCTCTATAGTAGCATATAGCATCCTAGGATCTATACCATCATTTATAGTTTTTTTGTTTCTCAGGTGTTACATCCCCGAAGAAAACTGACTCTGTCTTCCAGCAACCATCAACTGCCAATTTAATAATTTTAAAGTGTTTGTTAGTCATTTGTATTTCTTGTTTTCAGAGTTTTATTTATTTATTCATCTATTTATTTATTTATCACCCTGACTGCAGTTTCCCTCCTTTCTCTCCTCCCAGTCCTTCCCCACCTTCTTTCTGCCACCCATACACTCCTCCTCTGATTCTATCCAGAAAACTGCTGTTTCCCCAGAGTATCAAGAAGATACGGCATATCCAGTTGCAGTAATGCTAGGTACCTCCCCTTGTATTAAGACTGGACAAGGTGACCCAGTGTTAGGTGCAGGGTCCCAAAAGCCAATAAAAGAGTCAGAGACAGCCCTTGCTCCCACTGCAACTGTGTGCTGGCGAGCACAGAGGGGCACCTGGGACCTCCTGGCGACGATGGAGCCTCTCCTGCGTTGATCAAGGCCAATGTGCAATAGCACCATGTCTGTGTCTACTGATGGTGCTGAAAGCACCTCACAGATTCCAGCTTCGGAACACGAGATTCTCGTTAGACCAAAACCATTGTTTCTGAAGTTGTTAAAGTCTGTTGGAGTGCAAAAAGATACCTATATCAGGATCTTGATGACGGTGTAAGTGAACACTCGGGCGATTGGTTGGATCAGAATTAAGTTTAGAATTTGGGGTTGAGTCTCTTGACTCAGAAGATTACAGCCTGAGTGAAGGAGGGCAGCAGCTCTCAGATGAGGATGACGAGGCCTATCGAGTCACAGTGTATCAGTCAGGAGAAAGTGATGTAGACTCCTTTGAAGGAGATCCTGAAATCTCCTTAGCTCACTGTTGGAAATGTACCTCCTGCAATGAAATGAATCCTCCCCTTTCATCCCACTGCAACAGATGTTGGACCCTGCGTGAGAACTGGCTTCCAGAAGATAAGAGGACACCTCTGAAGAAGCCAAACTGGAGACAAAAGGCTTAAATGTGTCTGATGGGAAAAAAGCTACAGCGAATGACTCTAAGGAGTCCTGCACTGAGGAGAACAACGATAAAGAGATATATACTCCCAGTCGCAAGAGAGTGAGGACTACTCCCAGCCGTCAACTTCCAGCAGCATTGTTTATAGCAGCCAAGAATACATCAACGAGTGGGAGAAGGAAGACACAGCAGACAAAGAAGAGAGTCTAGAATCTGGCTTCTCCAAGGTTGAAAATTCTTAGGCCCTTAGAAAGCTCCTTCTTGGGCTCAGCTCCATGGCTCCTGATGTACTTAGGCTAGGTTTAGAAACCATTCAGAGAGTTTAAAACATGCATAGTATTTTAAAATGCCTCCTGCATCCATGTAGATTAACCTCTTGATTCATAATAGGAATCTTTCCCTTTGATCAAAGGGCCCTGTATTTTTTCACATGCTCAAGTATAGAAAGTAAAATCATCTGGACTGTAATTTGGAGTAACCAAAGGCTAGTTTTGTACTAAACTTGCTGACCTAAGCATTGAAACCAAAAAGCACTCGTCCCCACCAGGAAGCATCTCACATCCAAGGAGAACAGTGAGGAGTGAGACTTCAGCTCTGGCACCCTGTAACCCAGTGCAGCTCCACTCTTTGAATTTGTAATATCGGGACTGTAGCCTTGGGGAGTACTAGTCTCTAAATGTTTAGGTGTGCTACAATACACTATCTATTTGTAAATAAATGGCTTATTCACTATTTTTTAATTAAGTAAATAGTTTCTTACTTCAAGTGAGAAGAATCAGGGCACAGTCACAACCAAATCACACACCAAACCAAACTCCAGAAGTATAACTAACTCAATTCACTCACAATCTCTGGGCTCCTCCAAGGGATTTGGGTCACTTCTCTGGTTCTTCCCGCTGCAGCGCACACAGCTTGGTTTCTAGTCTCCAGCTGGTTCCATTCTACTGTTACTGCTGTTCTTAGTGGTCATCCCACGGTACTGGCAACTCCAAAATGCTGGGGTCCCTTGCTGCAACTGAGCTGCACTTTCACTAATAGACACTTATAGGCACTCATCGTGGTGCCAAGCCTTAACATCTCTGCAAGACCCCTTCAGTTCTGGGCCTTCAACTGCCACTGAGGCTGAACCTTCACCAATGGCCTCTCCTGGCCTCTCAAAGTGCCAAGCCACGTAAGATTTCCATGACCCCTTCATGCCTTCAAAACCAGTACCACCTGGGTGTGACTCTTACACATTACCAAGTCTGGCTGCCAATGCTAAGCACAACCTTGGCCACCTCTGGAACACAGCTTCTGTGTGCTGATTGTCAGGAAACACTTCCAGAACATTTCACCTCAGTGGTGCTGGTCTCTTCTTAATCATCGCTAATTTCTCAGCTCCAGCTGACCAGCATCAGTTGCCGCAGTGAAACATCCTATACAGATCATTTTATGTCCCGTGTTTCCACTCCTTCATTCCTAAGTAAGGGCATTAGTTCTCGTTACCACCTTACATTTCACGTAAGTGTAATATGCTCAAAAGGTTTTCCTCCAATCATTTTTAATAGAAAAAAGTACTCTCGTGTAATCTCATGCTTTAGAATACCAAGAATGTGCCATAGGAAGTTTGTGATTATGTTTCATTTAGTGTTACATTAGGAATGAAAATAAACTAGAGGCCTGGAGAGATGATTCAGCGGTCAAGAGCACTGACTGTTATTCCAGAGGTCCTGAGTTCAATTCCTGGCAACCACATGGTGGCTCACAACCGCCTTGAATGAGATCTGGTGCCCTCTGCTGGCATGCAGGCAGAAGACTGTATACACAATAAATAAATAAAATATCTTTTTTTTTCACCTCTACCTGTTCCCTCTTCTTCCCAAACCTACCTATTGCTAGTAAACATGTGAAATCTATTCTCTTCCCCTTTCTCATGTAGATGCTTGTACTCTCCCTTAAGCTCTTTTTTTTTTAATAAAATATCTTTTAAAAGAGAAAATAAACTAGAGGAGCTGCAGTGCATACAACTTCACAAAGATGATGAAGCACTTGCGGTACCCACTGTAGAGTAAAATCGTCTTTCCCTGCAGCAAATGAAAAACCACATGCAACGAGGCCAACAATGATAGTAAGACAATTGGCAATGGAATTTACACACCAGTGGGCAGTTTCAAACCATATTTAATTATCATTGACAAATGGTGACATTTCAGCCAAGGTAGTAAAGATGAGAATCCATCAATCAATAACTGCCTAAAACCTCAAAACTGTCAGGCAATGGTGAAGCTACTCTTCTAAGAAGGTCTTCATCTTATGATCTTTTAATATACTCTTTCTCTTGCTGGATGGCTAAAGATAAAAAGAAACATAAAAATAAGGTTAGGAGAGACTTTTTCTAGTATATTTAGTTTCTTCCTAGAGTTTTGCTACCAGATCGTGTGGTGGAGCTCAGGAGTACAGTGCTTGCCTAGCATGAACTAAGACATGGGGATTGAAACCCAATACCATTAAAAAGAATCTGTGCTAAATCTTTAAACGGCTATCATACATTCTCTAAATTCAGAACATCAAGGTACCATTCACAAATTCTCACAGTTATATGAGCGTACACATCAGCCATCTTAATATCTATTAAGATTTAATATTAAATAAGTATTAAAATTTAACATCTATTTAAACTCTGGGTTTTATATTCCATTTGAAGTAGATTTATGCTGCTGCTATTATATGAGACTAAAATGTAAATGAATTATCTTCTTCTAATACATCTATCACAATACAATAAGGAAGCTTTAAATGCAGTTTTGTCTAGTTTTAGAACTCTCAAATAATGATGGTGTAAGGAAAAGCACAGCATTTGTGAATTAGTTTTTGAGGTTCTCCAGTAAGATGTAACTCTAGGGATTAACAGTACTCCCAGAGTCTGGGAACAACAGTGTATTCGAGATCTGAACTTATCCCATTTTATTTGTCATTAGGTAGAATAGATCAGAAACACAGCATCTGCAGAGTTCATTAGCAGGACAAGATTGCAGGCCCAAATTTGTAGATGCAGGGAAATATGACACAATTAAAAGTGCACACAGGGTTTTTCCTAGTGATCAAATATTCCAAGATTGCTTTTAATGTGATTTTTGTAATTTTCAACAAGAAAGTAGTTTTTCTTTCTTTGTACTACTGGTGTCTACTACTACTACTACTATTGTTATTATTACTCCTGATTCCTATTGTGCAGGAACACTTACATAGCCCCAATAACAAAATCAGCTATTGGTTATTTTAAACTGCAAAGTATAAGAGGGCACTAATTATTATTTAGTTTGTGGAAAATTTAATAGAACATAGGTTGGTTAACAGACTATGCCAGCTTCCATCACTGTTCCTCTCAACTAGGAACCCCCACTACTTACTTTCCTTCGATGGAAGGGTGTTTTTTTCTTCAGTATTAGTTTTCTTCAGTTTTGATCTGTCAAATCTTTCCACTTCTGACAAGTCTGGTCTATCACTCATCTTGACTGAAAGAAAGAACAACAACAAAAAGTTACCTATTAGAACTCTGATCAGATTAAGAATAACAGCAAATATTGAGTATTTTTTACTATCCATGAATATTTTGCATGGTGATTTTCAACAAGAAAACAAAGTCATGTTTTTCTTAGAGTACTCTGATTGCAAAGCATTAGCCCATTTCTGGTGTCAGTAAATGACACTGGCAACTACAAGTCTCATGATATCTTCTTGCAGCCTTAGTAAACGAATGGCGGGGGGGCTAATTAGGCGCAGACTCAGGTAAACCAAACAGAGTTAAGTTTTACTTCAAACTGTTTGCACTGTTAAAAGAATAAGCATGATACAAAGACAGGACATGGTGAAATCCCTGGGGTCCTCTAAATTTCAAATGTGACAGAAATAGACAATGGAAAAGATCCCAAAAATCAGAAGGCCGAACTCTTAGGGGTAGAACACAATCTAGTGACCAGATTAGAATGGAGAAACGCCCACCCCCACCCCCATCCCCGAAGCTTCCACACATCCCAAACACATTCCTGTCCAATCAAGGGTATTCTAAGGTCTTCCTTTACTGGGTGAACAGCGCCAAGCTCAAAGCTGGGGAAAGTGGGATTCACACATTTCTAACTGCAGGGCGGGGCGGGGTGGGGGCATTTGTCTGGATTGTACATTTACTTTCCGCTGCCCAGCGCCCAGCCTAAGGGACAAAAGGGCGAGAGGCAACCCTAGAAGGCCGTTTCCCACCCGCCTCTACTCTCTTTCCAGCCTTAGTTACCTCCTCTCCCACAGTGAGAACCCCGGGACTGCTCCCTGCGGTGGCGAGAAACAAAGCCTCTGCGAATTCAGATGCGCAGACAGAACACCCTCAGCCTGAAAGAGCGAAAGCACTGGTGCACGCGCCAGCAGAGGCACTGAGCCACGGGTTCTTACCTGGTGTCTCCAACCTCGTGTTAAGACAACGTTAAGCCTGCAGCTCAAAGATCAGACTGGTGTTCCTGGGCGCAGCCCCACGCTTATAAACTCTTCAACAGGTCCCGCCTCTGGACCCCGCCCATCCCCTTATGAGCGGACAGCTAGTCCAGACATAAGCCCTGCACAGGCCTCTCTGACTGGACGACAAGTCCTGACTTGCCACGCCCCATCCCCAGGTCTAGTGACTATTCTCTGCTCAGTTTAGTACCTCAGTGTACCTCGTACCTGCCTTACCAAGGCTTGATGATGTCATGGAAAAATCTGATGGCAAAGTTTAGTTCTTCTCCCCTTCCACAGCTTTAACCTAGGGTCCATAATTCCTTCTTTACAAATACATCCATTCCTCAGCCTGGCATTAAACAGCTACCACTTATCCAGTTAGATTTTAATATATGGTCTTTGAGGGCCAAACTGAACGAGTTGTATGCTGAATTCTTGGATTTTTATAGCCTTGGGAAGGGACTATACTGTGATGACCAGTTTTGAACCTATGCTCAGTAACCTCTGTTCTAATCCCTGCACTGCTAATTGGGCAGATGTGGGGGTCAGTGGTTTGGGGCCACCTACTCCTGAACATTTCCTATTCAAGTATGTGGCATTTAGATTTTAGACTTTTTGTGCCATTGAACTTGAGAAGAATTAGTTTCGAATAATCACAAGAGATTCTGACACAACCTTTCACCTAGTGCTTTGTTTAGCCTACAAGAAGCAGAAGATGAAAACTATGTAGACTGAAGTTACCTCCTCCCAAGGCTCAGGGATTGTGACTGGAGAGAGGCAGAAAGATTTTAAGATCTAGAGACAGTGGGTTGCTACAGTGAAATAGTGTTTTCTGAACACAACTGCAACTGCACCATTTGAACTGACAGTTGCTGTAACTACATGTACAAGACCTACAAAAAACTAAATCAGACAAAATCTCAACATGGAGAGGGAAGTAAGTCAAAAATCCCTGCCCCCAGTTGAGAACTGCTGACAGTTGATGGTTGTTGGGAAAGGGAGAGACAGTTTTCTTCAAAGATGAGGCTTCTGAGAGACTACCATGTTCCAGCAGATGTTTTTAAAGAAGAAAACACATGAAGTAGGGAGGGAATTGTTGCATTTGGGGATAGACAAGGAATTGGAAAGGAGAGAATAGATAGTGTCCTTGTTCAAAGTATCACACACAGGTATGAATCTCTCCAAAAGAAAAGATAATAACATTATTATGAATAGTAATAAAGAGAAGAAGAAGAAGAAGAAGAAGAAGAAGAAGAAGAAGAAGAAGAAGAAGAAGAAGGTGAAGGGATAGGCATTGGAAGGGCCTGGAGTCCAATGATACCTTTGCTTTAAGGGGTCCATAGTGTAAAGACAGTAAAATAAGCATTGTGTTCCATGGTTTCTGTTCTTTTGAATTGGGATTGGTTGCTTCATGATGTAATGCCAGCTACTTTCATAGCCACAGGAGTGGAGGAAATCACTGTGTATAGACTTCAGTGTCTCTTTGGATACTAGCTTAACGCAAGACTATATCTCCAGAAACAAGAAGAAACAGGTAGTGGACTCAGAGTTTGGCAGGGTCTCTCTCACACAGTCCAGTGAAAATGCTTTAAGGAGAACTGGAAGGCTTGTAGTGACTTGAGAAAGGAATGACTAGGGAGAACTGCCAAATGCTGGTCTCTGAGCCTGGGAAACAGTGGGGGAGGTCTTCCAAACATAATATCTTCAGGGGTAAATCTCTCCCTATATGGGGTGCAGCATGCCGGATGCAAAGCCAGAGAAGGAGGCCTATCTATCATTCACTGGACTTAACTCAGAGTTTTGTTAGAGTATATTTTAATGGCTCGCTTACCCTTTTTTACCTGCCCAGAACTCTATGGTCTATGTGCATAATGAGGTTTTCCAACTATGTCTAAACTTTTAACCTTTTAACTGTTAATTGAGACATGGACCACTGTTGGATTCTATCGCTAGGAGGAAGCCTAACCGGAGGGGTGGGCGATCAGTTCCTAGAGGAACTTTTAAAGCTACTGTTTGAACAGTTTCAGTGGAGGTGAGGAACGCAGCTCAGATGGAAAGGGATCCTGGCAGTCGGGAGCCCAGGAATACCACACAGTCACCCTAAGCAAAGCACCCTGCTCCAGGAAAGGTTTCCCAATGTAACAGCTCTGCTCCTTCAGGGGAGGGTTTCCGAACTGATTAAAGTTCTGCTCAGGTCACTGGGAGTTCAACAAATCTGCTCTGCTAGGGGGAGGTTTCCCCAGCAAAAGCATGAAAAGAAAAAATGTTACACTTCTGCTCTGTTTTGCTCCAGGGAAAGTTGTTCCCTATCTGTTCTGCTCCACTCAGACAATAGATGGTCTTACCTCACCCAAACCACATTGAAGAGCTTTATTGGCAGGGAAGAATCCAGGAGGTGGCTGCCTTCTCAAGGATGCAAAAGAGCAGAGATTTTCAGGGTGGGGATTGGTTAAATTTGAATCCCTGAGCTTGGATAAGCTCAGACATTGGCTGGTTTCATGCTAAGGGAATGATTGGCTTTATGCTCACGGATTGGTTAGTTTCGTGCTCAGGGATTCATTGTTTTTTGTGCTGTGTTTGGTCAGGGGCAGAGTGTGTTTCTTTCCCTGGTCCTTTTCAGCCTTTTTGGCTCTAATTTTAGGACCAGCGTGTATTTCATTCCCTGACTCTAATTCCAAGGACAAAGTGTGTTTGGGTTGCACTGGTTTCAGGGTCAGGGTGCATTTCTTTGGCTCTGGTTGCAGGAACAAAGTGTGTTTGTCTCTGCTCAGGGTGTGTTTCTTTGACAGGCTCTTTTTCCCTACAACTAAGACAGACACTAACATAAAAAATGTCTAAGCATTGCAATGCAGATGGAAAGGGATCCTGGCAGTCTGGAGTCCAGGAATACCACACAGTCACCATAAGCACAGCAGCTTCCAGCCTTGCTGAAGATAAAGGTTTCCCAATGTAACAGCTCTGCTTCCGCAGGGGAGGATTTTCCCAGCAAAGTGGTTACAGTTCTGCTCAGGTCCCTGGGAGTTCAACAACTCTGCTCTGCTAGGACAAGGTTTCTCCAGCAAAAGCACCAAAAGAAAAAAAAAACATTACACTTCTGCTCTGCTCAAGGGAAAGTTGTTCCTTCTCTGTTCTACTCCATTCAGGCAATAGATGGTCTGTCCTCACCCAAACCACATTCAAGAGATCTATTGGCAGGGGAGAATCCAGGAGGTGACTGCCCCCTCCAGGGTGGAAAAGAACAGAGATTTTCAGGATGGGGACTGGTCAGATTTGAATACCCGAAGTTGGACAAGCTCAGATATTGGCTGGTTTCATGTTCACGTATTGTTTGGTTTTTGTGCTGAGTTTGGTCAGAGAAAGAGTTTGTTTATTTGGCTCTGGCTTCTGTGCCAAAGTGGGTTTCTTTCACTGGTCCTTTTTAGCCTTTTGGCTCTTGCTTTAGGGCCAGGGTCTGTTTCTTTCACTGGCTCTGATTCCAGGGACAAGGTGGGTTGCTGTGGCACTGGTTTTCAGGGCCAGGGTGCATTTCTTTGGTTCTGGTTTCAGGGACAAAGTGTGTTTCTTTGGCTCTGCTCAGGGTGTGTTTCTTTGACTGGCCCTTTTTCCCTACAGCTAAGACAGACACTAATATAAAAAATTCTCTAAACATTGCAGCTCAGATGGAAAGGGATCCTGGCAGTCAGGATCCCAGGAATACCACACAGCTACCATAAGCACAGCAGCTTCCAGCCCTCCTGCATGGAAAAGTTTCCCAATGTAACAGCTCTGCTCCAGCAGGGAGGGTTTCCCCAGCAAAGTGGTTACAGTTCTGCCCAGGTCCCCGGGAGTTCAGCAACTCAGCTAAGCTAGGGGAAGGTTTCCCCAGCAAAAGCATGAAAAGAAAAAAAATGTTACACTTCTGCTACTTACCCTAAAATTAAAGTCTCAGCATCTTTTGGGAAAATGAAATCTCTGTGCTTGTTTTTGTAGATAGTGTGAAGAGTTGAACTCTGGAGGAACCAGAATAATATGGGAAGAGTCTCCCTACTGGACTGCAAGACATTAAGACATCTTTTTAAAACTACAATCATAAGGCAATGGCATGATGGCACAAACTTAGACATGTAAAACAGTAGAACAGAACAGCAAGGCTGCAAGCTGTCCTAATTTTATACATTTATATGCTTCATATTTAGTGGGATTCCATCATAATTGAGTATGAAGAGAAAGATTTTTCAACACATGATACTAGGATACCTGGATATTTATCAAAAAATATGAAAATGGACCTCTAGCCTCATAGTGTTTCCACGCTAGGTCTTGAACATGCAAGGAAAGCACTCTGTCTCTAACCAATGTCCTTACGTATTGCACAAAAATAATTCTGAGTATACTGGAGAGATAAATGTGAAAGGTAAACCTAAGAATATTTATATTCGAAGAAGGATTTCTTTGGGGAAACACACACACACACGAATCACTTACTGCAAAGAGAACAGATGAACAATGTGACAAATGATAGTTATCAGTAGAAAACATAAAGGCAATGACAAAATAAGTGACCATGTGAGGAAGGTTGTATGCAGCATGCGTAAAAGACAAAGGACTGAAGTTACAACAAGTAACTCCCCTTAGTAAATTTGAAAAAGTGACAAAATTCCTTGAATAAATGATTCGCAAAAGAATAAATCCTAATGTACAACAGGCATTTGAAAATATGCTCAACAGTATTAATAATCGGAAGTGTCAGAGCAGGGACTTCATTTTACCTCCACTGTGTTGGAAAAATAATGTCAGGTAATACCAAGAATTGTCCTGAAGGTGGTGCAACAGAAACTGTTGAACATGGATTGTAAGGGTAGAAATTCGTGCATTCTGTTAGAAAATGTTAGACGGCATTCAGTTAAATTTGAAGTGTACACACTCCACAAACCAGTAATTCCATTCCTACAAAAATAACCCAGAGACACTTGTGTTTGTGTACACATGCTGTAATTCTTTATGGCTGAATCATATTTTATATATTGTTGCTTATTGTTAACCCACTTGTATGTTGCTGTTAACCTCTAGATTTAATAAGTCTTTAAACACATGTTTATTAACTCCTTATTTTGTTGATCTCAAGTTGTAAAAGTAACCTTTCAAATATCATAAAAATGACTATAGTATCATCACAAAATGAAATGTTAATGTTGACAACACAGTAATTGGAGTCTTAAATTTTACTGAAAAGGTTTATGTGGGAAAATTGATAGGGCTGTGTAATTTGACAAAACTACTGAGGTTTTTATGTGAACCAATTTTTAAAAACATATAAATTATGCCATGCTTTGGTTGCAAATTTTTGTTTATAATTCCACAGCTTCAAATTTCAATATACACATTTAAAACTTAAGTATGCATAAAGCGATTAGAGTAAATTTAAACAATTACCACGAATTAGTCTTAAAACATGTTATGTGAGTTTTCATTTTATAATACTTTGCAGTCAGGATTGGGGCTGTAACTCAGTTAAAGTGCTTTCCAGGCATATACAAGGGTCTGGGTTTTATCTCCAGAATCGTATAAATGGGGCATGGTGGTGAACACCTGTAATCCAGAACTTGGGAGATGGAGGAAGGAAGATCAGAAGTTAAAGGTCATCCTAGTCAATATAAGTAGTTCAAGGCTGACCTGGGTTACAATTGGCAATAGCTCCATTTTTATGCATTTACATATTTTATGGTGCTGAGGATGTCCTTGAGGATGCTAGGTAAGGGCTCTACCACTGAATCTCTGAGTTTGAGGCCAGCCTGGTCTATAGATCAAGTTCTAGGATGACCAGGGATACACAGAGAAGCTCTACCTCAAAAAAAGTGAATGTATGCAATTCTCAGCCTAGGAAAAAATATTTCTCTGTGTATAGACAGAATGCATGCCCTTATAATATGGCAAATGAGATAAAGTGTTTATAGGTTGATCTGAGAAAGGATATATAGATGTTCTTTTATCCTTATTCATGAAAATTATCTATAAGCTCAAATTTATTCATAATAAATTGTTAGAGAGAAGAAAGGGATATAGATTGAATCAGTGACACTGGTGAATCCACAGTGTACTTGGAAGTAAATGCATCTTTTGAATAAAAATATGGGGGGATAGTGCTCATTATTGCTCTTCAGCTAGTTACACATCATTGTGAACAATATTTTCTCCTGGAAGTTAGGCATCAGCATAACTAGCTGCTGTTCTAATTTTCCTTTCTTTGTCTGAGTATGTATTGCACTTCTTTGAGTGGACAAGCATTGACATTCATCAGTATCCATGGGGATTTGTTTCCAGGACTCTCTGAGAATACCAAAACCTGTCACTGCTGAAGTCCAATATTTTCAAAAATTGTGTAATTCTATTTGCATGAAACATTTTATTGTTTTATTTTTATTTCGATTCGTTTATTATTTCATGAGGATGGAGGAGAACTTGTCACAATCTTATGCAGCCCAGGCTGTCCTGGAATTATGTAGCCTAGTGTGTCCCTGAACACTTTATCCTCCCACCCCACGTCCCTAGTAAGGATTACAGTTATGGACCACCATGCCCTGCTCTAGCCCATATGTTTTAAATCATTTCTAGTTAGTTTATAATATCTAATACAAGGTTAAGTGTTCTGTAAATTATTGTTACACCATGTTTGGATGAATAACAAGCAAAAGAGTTGCACATGTTCAATACATATGTAATCCTCTCCCAAAATAATTTGGCCATAATTGTGGAATGCAAGGATGTAGAATCTGCAGGTAAGAAAGTCTAAAAGGGCTGTTCCAGCCAACTCTCATTCACTGTATGGAAGTTCATCTACAGCACTTCAGGAAGGCCACTTTCTGTACTTAAAGACTAGCATTCTTATGACCTAAAAGTCCTGACTTTAATGCCTATAGTATTTAGATGAATTTTCATCCCTAGTCAGGTAGGTCCTTATGAAGGACAACTTTGGTTCAGTGAGGAGGTGCAGGTGGAGGAATTTATCATGATATCGTGTATAAAGCCAGGACTGAAACATGTGCCATCTTGGAAACACTAAAAATTCTAGAGATAAAAGGAGTAGGACAGCTATACAATGTGATTCTGTTTGTGAAATTTTGGCGCTAAAGTTGTTATACTAGCCAGCATGCTGTAAATAACACAAACTCACCAAATACTCTGGTTGAAGGTAATTTTATTATTGTTGTCATTGTTATCATTGGCATCATTAGCACAAAACTAAATCCACTATTAAAAGAAAACAAACACATCCCAAAGGCATGTGTCTTATTGACAATGAGTCAGTAACATTATCTTCATGTAATAGGGATAGCACCCTGAGGATATAGACCATATCACAGCTTGATAATTCAATAATTCACCAACTTTCTTGAGCACCTAGGCACAATGGAGAATTTTAAAAATGCATACAAGAATCCCTGCTTTCAAGAAGTTTACAGTCTAGTAGGAGGTACTGAAGAAAAGCAAGAACATAGGGCCACATGGGATCAGTGACATAGTGGAATCAGTGCACGTTGATGAACTGTTGGAACGGGGTGTTCACAAAACTAATGTCACATTCAGGCAGGGGAATATAGAGAAGGGGCTCCATATAGACAGTAGCATTGGAGCTGGACTTTTGGAAATTGGAGGCCTTTTAGTGTGTAGGGGGCAGTGCAAGTGGAGAGACAGTGTGGGGCCGAGTATGGCCTTGGGTAAGATCATGGGATGTTTGGGGAGAGAAAAGCACTGCATTTGGCTGACATATGCAGTCCATGCATATGGTGTAATAATATGCAGAAAATTATATGGGGTCCATATTAGCAATGGCTTTGAATGATAGGCTGAGATCACTATGTTGTAGTTACTATATAGTTGTCCACATCAACAAAAGTAGCAATTAATTGTGAAGAGATATGGTCATGTTGGTCCAGGTTTCTCATGGAAACGTAAATGGTTTGTAGGCAATGTAATCATTTTACATATATATATTCCTAACAGATAATACAAACCATAATATTTTTCTCTATTTGCCATGAAGTTAAATTAATTAAATCTCTTACTTCAAAGTCTTTATTCTTTCTATCCAGGCAGCAAATCTCTTCTCATTCCCATTTCCATCATCATCATCATCAGTTCTTGGGGCACCTGATGGGCTGAAGTGGGCCTAATCGAGGATTTGTCATCAGAGCAGGTACCCGGAAAGTGGGACCCATAGCTTGACGTGAGAGTGGCTGTGGTAGAGGCAGTGAGCAATGTCAGGCAAATATAGGCATCTCGGAAGTTTTCCTCGAAGTCTAGTACAGTTCGTTGAAACTGGAGTTCCACTCAGTTTGGTCAGGAGGCCAGGTAGAAGGACCCCAGACTCACAGTACCCAAGTAGGGTCTTCTTTTAAAGTTTCCTCTTACTAAAACAGTTCCTTAAAAGAATTACTTTTAATATGGGCTACAGCTTGCTAAAGGCTCCAGGTTCTGAAGCTGCTGAAGCTGTGTATAGACCAGGGAGACATTGTTTCTTTGACTAAGGAGTCCCGATAGGCTTTGTCTATGACTAACAGGTGGAAAGTTAGGAGCTTCTCCCATGCAGTGACAAATTACAGGTACTAAATGGTTGTATTAGGTAACCAAGCCAAAGAAATACACTATACACAACCAACAAGTAAAGACTGACAACAAAGATGCCATGGTCACACTTCCTTAGTCAGTCTTTCATCTCTTTCTTGCTGTGAGCCTTTCTCTGCAAGAAGTCATGGATAGCAGTAGTGAGGCCCCATGTCACACTGGACCTGAGAACGATCAGAGATCCTCCCCTATAAATCAGGAGTATTTTTCGACCTCGAGAGTCCCACACATCTTGTGCAGAGGCCCATAGGCTTGGCATTCTGTGCCATCCAATATGAGACTGCATATTGGCAACCAGCACAATCAGAGGATACAGGACCAGGCAGGTGATTGTTCCATTGACACTACCAGACACCAAAGCAGGAACCCAGTGGGGCAGGCCTTGCCTTGCCAAGCTATCCTGGATTGGGTCCTTGAAGGAGAAATAGAGAGCACTTCCCAGGCTGTTTCTGACAAGGACTGGCCAGAAACCACGATAATAGCCTAGGGACAGCCGCCCCCAAAGCCCATAAGAATTGAATTCCTTGAGAATGCTGAAGGTGCTAGGGAAGCAAGCTTGCTTGCGAGCATCCTGCAGCACGTTTTGTACTCTTTCAAAGGGACTGAGTGCCACAGCTTCTACCACACCAGACATGAGCCCTGCAGTCCAGCGCTGTCCAAGGGAGTGTGGCCCAACCGGGGAGAGAAAGCCCAGCAGACTATCATAAGTGCCAAATAACAGAGTCCCTTGCAGGGTCTTGGAAAGAAGAGGGGGGTAGATGCCCCGGTAAAAGTACTGAGGGCCTTCATGCCAAAGCTGTCGCACAGCCTCTGACACTGCCATAGCATGGATCTGCTGCCGGAACACAACCTTATAGATAGGAAAGGTCAGAAAAGTAGACACAAAGTTGGAAATGGCCCCAAGGGTGTAGGCCTGCGAGTGCCAGCTTTTCTTTCCTGGAACTTCTGCTCGTGTCCTGTGTTGAAGCTCCTTCCCAGAAGAGTTGTTCTGTTCGCCCATGCTGAGGACAATTGGATGCTGATGGTGGAAGAAACTAGCAAAAGGAGACAAGAAGTTAGGCTGACCATTTCAATGTTTCAGCAAGTGTTTTCCTGGTTTGTTCTGACACAGAACCACAAGAAACTCACATGTCAGGAAACACTTTTGACAGTACCTAAGAACAGACATGCCCTTAGGAAATTAATAATTCAACAACCATCAAAATTTTGATTTATTTCTCTTGATAAGTCACCTCTGTGGTACATTTGTGACACAGGAAAATCCAAACAAAAACGTATGATTAAAAATCATAGATAATCTGGAAAGAGGTCTTAAAAGCCTATTGTATTCAATTTTTATCATAAAAGCTGTGCATTCATGAGTCTGTGCATGCATACAGAGGCCAGAGGAGAACACTGGATCTCCTGCAGTTACAGGCAGTCTGAGTCACCTGAGAAGGGCCTAGGAACTGAACCTTGGTCCTGTGCTGAACTGTTGGTTCATCACAACTTTGCATTTTATTACCTACTAGATGAGTAAGTTCTTTCTCTCTTTCCAAAACTACTTTTTGCTATGCTACAGGTTGAACCCGGGCCTTCTGTGTGCCAAGCAAGTGTACAACCAGAATTGCAGGCTCCATTCCACAATTTTTTGATGTGTGTGTGGTATGTTTATGTTATTGTTCATGTGTATGTATGTGTGCATGCATGTGTATACATGTAGAGGCCAGAAATTGAAGCTAGTTGTCTGCTACAGGTCTCCAACTTATTTTTTTGAACAAGGGTATCTCACTGAACCTGGAGTGCACCAATTTGGCAAGAATAGCTTACCATAGATCTTTCTGTCATTGCCTTCCAGACACGAGGATTACATGCATGTGCCACCATGCCTGGCATTTTTATGTGGGTGATAGGGATCCAAGCTTGGATACTCACTTTTTCAGAACAATCCCTTTATTGATTCAGCCCTCTCCCCATCAAAACATGTTTAAGATGTTAAAAGTTGCAGGCAAAGCTTTCTGGGGGTGAAAACATCTTCCTTCCTACCTCTGAAGATTACTGCCCAAACTATATCTGTCTCATGACAACACCTTACTCCTCCCTAACTGAAGGAAGGAAACAGCAGCTGCTTCTGGGAGTTTCATGCCGTGTGGCCCAATACCTGGAAAATTTCAGGGTTTACCTTTTACATGTATAGCTACATAATATAGTGTGGTTTCTCAGTTTGAGCTCTACTGATATTTGAGAATTTGTGGAGGAAAGGGGCTAGCCAAAGAAACACACTTTGGTCCTGAAATCCATAGCCAAAACAACACACCCTGGCCCTGAAACCAGAGCCAAAAGGTTAAAATAGGCAAATGAAAGAAATTCATTTTGCTCCTGAAACCAGACTCAAAGAAACACACTCTACGTGTGACCAACTCAGTACAAAAAAAATCCCTGAGCACAAAACTGACCAATCAGTGAGCATGAAACCAACCATTCCCTGAGCACAAAACCAGCCAATCTCTGAGCTTGTACCACTTCGGGTATTCAAATCTGACCAATGCCCACCCTGAAAATCTGTGCTCTTTTCGACCCTGGAGAAGGCAGCCACCTCCTGGATTCTTCCCTACCAATAAATCTCTTGAATGAAGTTTGGGTGAGGTGAGGCCATCTATCACCTGAATGGAGCAGAACAGAGAAGGAACAGCTTTCCCTGGAGCAGAGCAGAAGTGTATGGTTTCCCAGGAAAGAACCTAAAAGATATGCATAGTATCCAAGAGAAGAGGATTGAGACAAGATCCTCTGAATGGATGGGGAACATGGCGAGGGGGGGAGTGGGAGCTGGGAAGAAGAGAGGGAGAGAAGAGGAAGAGAGAGTAGGTCATGGGGGAACAGGAAGGTTGAGTGGGGGGTAGAATATGGGGAAGAGGGAATCATAGGTTAGAAGACAGATCAGGCACCAGAGTGACCTCTAGTCATCTAAAGGGATGACACCAATTGACAAGCTAAGCAATAGTGGAGAGACCACCTTGAATACCCATTCCTGATAGTGAACTTGATGTCTATAACACTCCTGGAGCCTTCATCCAGTGGCTGATGGAAGCAGAGGCAACACCCACAGTTAAATACTGAACAGAACCTAAGGAACCCAGTGACAGAGAGAGAGGAGTGATGAGCAAATTGGCAAAGAATGGGCTGGCAAAACCAGCAGAGACAGCTGATCTGAACAGGGGAGAGCTCTTGGACCCCAGACCGACAGCAGGGAGGCCAGTATGGGACTGATCTGGACCCCCCCCCCGATTGTGAGTGCCAGTGAGAAGGCCTGGGCAACCTATGGGGTCCTGAGCTGTGGATCAGTGTCTATCCCTGCTATACAAACTGTCTTCATGTGCCTATAGCACAAAGAGGGATGCTCTCTCAGCCTGGACTCTTAGGGGAGTGCCTGGACCCTACCCTGAGTGAAAGGACAGACTCTAGATATCCCCTATGTGGAAGGAATTGGCAATAGGGTGGGAGGCTGGGGGGATGGGGGAGTGTGGGAAGAGGGGAGGGAGAGGGAACTGGGACTGACATGTAAAACAAGCTATTTAAAATTTTTTTTAATTTTTTTAAAAAAAGAAGTGTATCATTTCCGTGCTTTTGCTGGGGAAACCTTGCCCTAGCAGAGCTGAGTTGTTAAACTCCCAGGGACCTGAGCAGAACTGTAACCACTTTGCTGTGGAAACCCTCCCCTGCTGGAGCAGAGCTGTTACATTGGGAAACCTTTCCCTGGAGCAGGGCTGGAAGCTGCTGTGCTTAGGGTGACTGTGTGGTATTCCTAAGCTCCAACTGCCAGAATCCCTTTCCATCTGTCCTGCAATGCTTAGAGAATGTTTTATATTAGTGTGTCTGTCTTAGCTGTAGGGGGGGGAAGGGCCAGCCAAAGAAACACACCCTGAGCAGAGCCAAAGAAACATACTTTGTCCCTGCAACCAGAGAAATACACCCTGACCTGAAACCAGTGCAAAAGAAACACACTTGGTCCCTAAAATCAGAGCCAGTGAAAGAAATACACCCTGGTCCTAAAATTAGAGCCAAAGGCTAAAAAGGACCAGTGAAAGAAACCCACTTTGGCACGGAAACCAGAGCCAAAGAAACACACTCTATTCCTGACCAAACTCAGCACAAAAACCAGCCAATCCCTGAGCACAAAACCAGCCAATATCTGAGCTTGTCCAAGCTCAGGGATTCAAATCTGACCAATTCCCACCCTGAAAAATCTCTGCTCTTTTTTCCACCCTGGAGAAGGCAGCCACCTTCTGGATTCTTCCCTGCCAATAAATCTGTAGGGGAAAGGGGCCAGCCAAAGAAACACACCCTGAGCAGATCCAAAGAAACACACTTTGTCCCTGGAACCAGAGCCAGTGAAAGAAATACATCCTGGCCCAAAAACTAGAGCCAAAAGGCTAAAAAGAACCAGAGAAAGAAACACACTTTGGCCCTGAAACCCTGTGCCGAAAACTAGCCAATCCCTGAGCAGGAGATTGAAATCTGACCAATCCCCACCCTGGAAACACCTCCTACCCCACCACTCCTGTGTCTATTCAGCTTGTAGCTGTTTGTGCTGCCAGGCTGGCCTCTGTGATTGTGACAGAGGGCAGCGACTCCCTGGATTCTTCCCTCCCTATAAACCCCTTCCCTGGGCTTTGGGTGAAGACCTTTTGGGGTGGAGCAGAGACGACCCTGGGCAGAGCAGGACTGTAACACTTTTGCTGGGAAAACCTTCCCCTCCACTCTGCTGAGAGCAGAGCTGAACTGTAGCAACTTTGCCTGGGCAAAACTGCTACACTGGGCAAACATCCCCAGCTGGGAAGCCCTCTCATGCCGGAGCAGAGCTGATACACTGGGGAAGCCTTTCCCTGAAGCAGCGCTGTAAGCCGCTTCGCTTACTGTGGCTTGTGGTATTTCTTGGCTCCTGAGCTCCAGGATACATTCTCTCTGAGCTGTGTAAAACTCAGTATTCTGTGACTCCCGAGTTCCAGAATACTTGTTCCATCCGATCTGTCGAAATGCTTACAAAATCTCCTGAATGTGGTTTGGGTGAGGTGAGACCATCCATCCCTGAATGGAGTAGAACAGAGAAGGAACAATTTTCCCTGGAGCAGAGCAGAAGTGTAACGTTTTTTCTTTTCATGCTTTCGCTGGGGAAACCTTCCCCTAGCAGAGCTGAGTTGTTAAACTCCCAGGGACCTGAGCAGAACTGTAACCACTTTGCTGGGGAAACCCTCCCCTGCTGGAGTAGAGAGCTGTTATATTGGAATGGTGACTGTGTAATATTCCTGGGCTCCAACTGCCAGAATCCCTTTCCATCTGTCCTGCAATGCTTAGAGAAATTTTTACGTTAGTGTCTGTCTTAGCTGTAGGAAAAAAGGGCCAGTCAAAGAAACACACTTTGTCCCTGAAACCAGAACCAAAGAAACACACCCTGGCCCCCAAACCAGTGCCAAAGAAACACACTTTGTCCCTGGAATGAGAGCCTGTGAAAGAAATGCTGGGGAAGCCCCACCTCTCTCCGTCCTCCCGCCCTCCCGCCAAAGCAGAGCTGTTACACTGGGGAAACCTTTCCCTGGAGCATGGCTGGAAGCTGCTGTGTTTATGGTGACTGTGTGGTATTCCTGGGCTCCCAATTGCCAGAATTCCTGTCCATTCAATCCATCCTAATATTTACATTAGCCACTGGAGGATGTTTATCAGTTGCCTGGTCATTTCTCACTGCATACCAGAAGCACCAGTCATGATCCCCATAGATGATAATCAAGGGATGTAGCTCAATTGACAGAGTGATTTCCTACCGTTCATGAAGGTGTGTGTTTGTCTCCCCATCACTATATAAACTGTACATAATGATGCATATGTGTAACCCATCACTTAGGAAGTAAAGACAGGAGGATGAGTTCAAAACCATCCTCAACTACTTATGAAGTTCAAGGTCAACCAGGGAAACATAAGACCTCACTTCAGAAGTATTAAGACATGGAGAAGTAGTATTATAAGCAATTTGGGGGTCAAGACATGGAAGGAACTTTACAATCAAAGAAACAAGAGGTAGATGCAGTAGCTTGTACCTGTAGTCTGAGCTACATGGGAGGACGAGGTAGGATCACTTGAATCTGAATTTCAAAAGCCACCTGAGCCACAACTGAAACCCTGTCCGGAAGGACAGAAGGAGGAAAAGAAGAGTGGGAAGGAAGGAAGGAAGGAAGGGAAGGAGGAGGTTGATAGGGTGGATAGGATTGTAGAGGTCTGAGGAGAGTGTGCGGCTGGCAGTTGGCACATTGCGGAGGAAGCATACAGCTGGCCAGGTAGAAACAAGGATGACGAGAGCACATACTGAGCAGGACAGCAGGCAGGCAGAAACAGGAAGTCTAGCAACAATTGCAGACAGCAAGTTTCACACAGAACCCAGGACACTGTGGTCTGTGGTTGAGACTCTGGTTATGTCAGTAGGCTATACGGCCCACTCGATAGGGACAATGGGAGTTCAGGCTGAGGCCCTGAGTGAGGAGTAGAAGCCAGGTGCCACGTGCAACCTACGCAGGCTTCTCTGGGATGCTGCACTCACAACTTGCCTTAGAGTGCTTCTGTTGGAGTCACCCTACTTGGCTTCTGCTTGGGCCTGGTCTCTGGTCCTGTTTCATCATTACTGTCTCCCCATATCATTTACACCCCCTTTGCTGAAGCCACGCTCGTTTCTTGGTGGGGGGTTACCTTTTATGCCTATTACCACATCCCTGCTCCCAGCACTTCATGTTAGTCTAAAGCTTCTGCCTCCTTAACCTTCAAGACCAGGAGAGTAGAAAGGCTTGTGTTCCTGGGATCCTTTGGCTGAGAACTTGCCAGGGGCAAAGGTTCAAGGGGCCCAATTATTACATTCTTCTGGAATAATTCTGGGCTTCTCACACTCACTTTCATATGTCAGGAGCTAAAGGGGGCCCACCGCTGCCTCTTCCTGCTTTGGTCACCCACACCTCCAAAGTTACATGAGCCTGGAACATTCCACTGCTCTCCCTTCCAAATCTTACCTTGGTCTTAATAAGTACAAGTGATGAAATAAAGGGTTTCCAGATCTTCTAAGCCTAAGCTCAATAACATTTGAGCCCCTGCCCACTTAAAAACACAGATCTGTTCATCTACTCCATAAAGCAGTCTGAATTAGTTGAAGAGAAATGGTTCGCCACAGCCATATTGTAAGCCCTGCTTCTGTTAGTAACATTTTTTATGACTTCACAAATGTAATGGCCTCTTGGAGCCTCTTTTACTTTAGTTATAAAATTATCAGCAGAGAAAACTATTCTGTAGTCATCTCCAAATCTGTACTCTGTCACAAGGGCTTGAATGTGGCAGGGTTTTTTTTAATGCCTCTGGCAGTAATGAGGGTTCACTTTTGTGCTGCCTTACCCTTTCACCATTTATGCAAACAATTTTGAGTGATTAAAAGTGAACAGTAATTTAGAAACACCTTACCTTAAATGTCTCATACATAATCTTATAAATCCAATTGTCTGCCTTTTACACAAGGAAGAAAGTTCGTATTTTTTCTCATGGATTTGTCTTTGAAGAGACTTTGGAGGACAAATATATCTAGAACTGAATTCTGCCTCCATCACTTTCTTAGCTGTGTAATCTGGAGAAGGCGGGAATTTCACTGTCTCACATTCTTAAAGTGGTACCAATAACACAGAAGGTTGTTCTAAAGATTAGTAACATAACATGACATAAAGTTGCTGAAAGTCTATGACATGGTGACTTTAATTTTTAAAAGTATCAAAAAAGATTATTCCCACCTCATTGCCTGTCTTCACGGAGCACATGTTCCTGAAGATGATCTAGAGCCAGATGAAGTGGCATGCTGGAACATATCCACTGTTCCTAAGGAAGCCAAGGGAGATCTTTCTTCTATGCATGCGAAGACTCAACATAATCCTCCAGGAGAACCTGGCACCCTAACATTAATTGCAAAGTATGGGATGGAGAATGGACTTGGAGTGTGTCTTGAACAGTTATCATCTAAGCCCTATAATCTACCTCCTGTGACTACAAACCTAATCAAATGAGCATGTGGGAACCAAGACTACTCAGGCTAGTCTAGTGAAGATGGGTATCATGGGTGGGCATCCTAAGACTCAGTCCTAAATCAATCTGCTCATTTGGGAGAATTCCCAAGCAGTCCTTTGCTCAGTTAAAAACACATATTGATCATCTTTCATGTCATTGTTAAATCACTATGGAGCTAATGAAGGATATGATTTGGTGCCTGTCTTCAAGGACATGGGAGTTTAGTGGGGTAGACAATTCAGCAATGGACTAAACCACACTGTAAAACAAAATAAAAATAATCACAATCAAAGGAGAAAGACAAGAACAATTTATTTTGCCCTGGACACTGAAAACACAATGCTGGCAAGGATGTGGAGAAAAGACAACCATTATACACTGTGTATGGGACTAAAAGTTGGCATAGAAACTATGGGTATCCGTATGAAGGCTCCTCAAAAAAAGTCAAAATAGATAAAGCCAGTTGTTCAGCTATCCACTCCTGATATATACCTGGAAAAAATAAAATAGGCCTACAAAAGAGACATCTTAATTTGTTCAAGTTTGTTGCCACACTATCCACAGTGATTATTACATAATTAGTCTAAGTGTCCATTAACAAATGCATGGCTAATTAAAATGAGTTATGTAGACAAGTACAATGGAATATTACTCAGCCACAAAAAGTGAAACCTATCATCTGCAGAAGAATGGAAAGAACAGGATGCTACTATGTTAAGTGAAATTAGTCATGAAGAGGAAGTCAAACACGGCATGCTCTTTTTATATGTGGAAACTTAACAACTGTAGACCTGTAAGTAGAAGAGCAATTATTAGGGATTTGGAAGGTAAGGGGGTATAAGAAGGATGGTTAAATATGATTGATAAATGCTGTATTCTGTATTCATAGAAGGTAACACTACACCAAACCCCATGCAAACACTAGAAATCTGCAAAAGTCAGGAGTCACTCTCTTCATAGGATTTTTCAAGACTTGCCAGTGCGCTGAAATGTGCAATTAATATGTGTTAATAAAAATTTTCTCAGGAATGATTGAAAATGTATGCACCATGATCCCATAAAAAGAACAGACACCAACAATTCTGTCCAGTGAAGCGGTAAGACCATGGTTCTTTTATGAGATCTCATGGTTGCTCTGTATATAAGCTATTCTGTAATTACTTCTCTAGTGAGAACTAAAATGTCATTCATGTGCAATTCTGTCCATTAAAAAGATCATCCTGGAAAAAAATTCTCAGGAAAAATGTGACACAGTCCTTAAATAAGTCACATTTTCCTAGGTGGAGGAGTGGAAACAGGTGTTTTAGGCTAAGGAGAGAAACTACTGTTGACAGGAGGAGGTTCTCCTAGAACACTGTTTAGGATACACATTCATAGAAGAAAGACCTTCCCTGGCTCCTGTAAGAATACTGGATGTATTCCTGCATGCCACTTCATCTGGTTTTGACTGATCTTCAGGAATGTATACTCTGTGAAGGCATAACAGCCCATCGTGGTGGTGGTAGTGAAAAACAAAACAAACAAACAAACAAACAGAAACCAGATATAGCAGAGGCTAATGATGGCCATGTTTATTTTCTCCACTGATGTATGATGTAGGGAACAAAACACTGCCATCCTTTAGTTTTATGACCGTGACTAACTAATTCTGTTCAACTATCTGAGCCTTACTATCATTATCGTTTTAAATCCCTTTATTATTTGGGGGTGTGTGACAGCAGCTAAGGTAAAATTATGACAAAATTGCTAACATGTTCCAATGGCTGTATTAGGATCTTGTATTAGGATGATTTCATTTATCTTTTTTTTTCAATATTAGGGATCAAATCAGATTGTTTTCATACTAATAGTCTTCCACTGAACTGCATATCCATCCCTTCAAGATGCATTTATGCTTTCCCCTCAAACTGGAAAAGGAATGTATTCATGGGTTCTAGAGTTTGACTGTCCTGGGCTAGCATCCCATCCCACTGCTTCCACTCCCAAGGAGTATAGCCGTCTAGAAGCTACTTTGCCTGCTTGAAACTCTCAATTTTCTTCTCTGAAAAAAAATGGTACTCCATGCCTGTGTCAGTAGAGCTGCCAAGAAGTTTAAATGAGATAACAGATAGGAAGTTCCTGGCACACAGGAGGCCTGCTGCCAAAAGTAGCCTATTATTTCATCCGAAAGCTTTACCTTCTAACCCTCGAGCTTTTAAGGTTCATTTGTCAAAACTGGAAAATGTGACCTCATTAGAACATCCTTTGGTGCACACTCTCACACATGTGACAAGCAATAAGAGATGGTCTGTATCCCAATAGACCTTGGTCGTAACTTTGCTCTAAAACATCCTTGCTTCAACCTCAGAACCTATACGAAATCCATTCTTTTCATTTTTTTAAATCAGAACTTGCAGGTCTATTTTTAATTCCTTGATTCTGCCCACCAGGCCCAACATAATATGTACCTTGGTGATGAAGCCAATGGAAACACAGAACAAGTGTCTGCTGTGGGGTTGTGGTCTAACATCGTCGTACAAGGGAACAGAAGCAAGAGCGTGAAGAAAACCCACCAGATACTCCCAGCCCCACCCCCTAACTCTGCAAGGTGAGCCACCTGCCTCCTATGTGCCTCCACCACTCTCTGCCTTCCACCACCTCTAACACACGTCCCCAAGAGAAGAACGACAACGAAGGGCTGTACTATACAGAGTGTGTGCTTCCTTCCAAATTTGGGTTGCATATGCAAGTCTAGTCATTGCAGTTGTAAATAAGAAGGCAGACAGGAATATGTGAAATACCTTAGCAGGTTGAAGATGAAGCCAACAGCAATTGCAGGGTTTCAAACTGTTCCTAGGCTTCCAAGCACCAGGAGTGGAGGGCAAATCCTGCCTAGGGGGTCTCCTAGCCACCTACCACCTACACAGAGAAGTGATACCTGCTGTGTAAGAAGCAAAAGGCCAGGGAAATGGAGCAGGTTTCTAGCCTCTGCCTTCACGGCCCATTCGCTCTGGACAGCCTTGCATGCCGTTTCCATGGAGTTGCTCCTTCTCTGGGGCCAGTGATGCCAAAGCCAGCAAAGGAGAAGTCTCCTGAAGAGCTCACAGAAGGGCAGCCTAGCAACCTATCCTTGAGCCAGGAAATGAAAGAGTTATATCAGCGACCGAGAGCTCTGGTGTGGGTTAGGTCAAATGGTGTTTTGTTTCTCACACTTCTTCCTCAAGCAGGTGTTGAAAGAGGAAGATGTTTTGAAGATTGTAGGGCAGTGGTTCTTAACTGTTAGGGGGCCACAGGACCATTTACAGAGCAATGGTATCAGAAAGTGTTCGAATCCTTTCAAGGACTCAAGGTAGGACACTTCTGCTCTGGGATTAAGTTTCATGACAAACTGGCTGTGGACAAACATTTAAGTGGCAGACCCATTTTCTGATAGCCTTCAGCATGGTGTGGTGTTTAGAACAGTGGTTCACAGACTCACTACAATCCAGAATCAATTATACAAACAGGTAAAATGCAAATGGCATTTTTCATCCCCTGTTCCAGTAAAGCCAAATCACCAGAGCTGGAGCCTGGGAGTGTGCATTTCTAACAAGCCCTCAAAAAATCATTCTGCGATAGGCAGCTGAGGAGCCATTATGTTAGTTTGTAGCATGACTTCTGGATTGAAAGTTCTGGCTTAATCCTGTCATTTTGGGTAAGTCATCTCTGAGTCTGATTTCCTTTGGGATTCTAAAGACATGTTGATACTTTTTATAAACAGGTGGTTTATTTTCGTGTAAAAACATGAGCAGAAAAGTGCCTCAGTTTCCTCCTCGGTATAATGGGTATCATGAAGGTCGCTTTCCTCTTCTTTTTGGTGTCTCCCACTCCCCTTCCTCGGCACAACCGTCACCTTAGCAAAGCTGCTGAGATAATTTGTGGATACGTATGTAAGAGTGAAAATGCCAGGCAGACCAGCAGGGCAAAGTGTTGGCATCAACACAGAGGAAAACGCTGGCATCGACATTACAACAGACCAGGGTGCTAGTGGCTTATTTGCTTATTTGCTGCATGATACAGGACAAGATGCCCAAGCTCATGGTGGCTCAGTTTTCTCATCGGTAAGTTGCAGACAGCCGTTTATTAATTTTTATACAGCCCTAAACTGGTCCTCTCATCCTCATTTTGGCTTCTCTCTACTAACCCTTAATCTGACACTAGAGAGGGTTGTTTAAAAGGAGTACCCTTTGAGGTTAGACGCCAGGGCTGGAGTGTGAGCTGTTAATTCTGTGCTTCCTACCCATACTACCTAGGTGCTTACATCCCCCTCTCTCTTAAATGGGCACATTGCTACGCTTTATCACAAGACTGGTGAGAAGAATAAATGGGATGTTCGTGCAAGCGCGCTGGCCGGCACACAGAAAGCTCTCAGCAAATGCTTCCCCCTTCCCCCCTATACAAAGGTGAAGAACTCTCATTGTTCACTTGCTTTCGGTCCCACCTCGTGTTTAAGGCATCCGGTCGCAAAGCAGCGGAGGAGAGGCTAGGCGGAAGGCGATAGGAAGAAGGGAAGAGAGGGGAAGCTGCAAACTCACGAGTGAAATGTAAATGGGCCAGGTCCGTGAGTCCGAGCTGCACTTGACGCCGCGCCCGCTCCCGCGCCAGACTGCCGCAGCCCCCTCCAGTAGGTTCCCCCCTCTGGCAGGCATTAGTATCCTGGCCCAGGCTTTGCGGGAAGGCCGCCCCCGTACACCGCTGATTGGCCACGCCACCCATCTCGTCATGCTCTTTTGTCTCAATGGGCAGGGGCTAAAAGCAGCCGCTGCGGCTCTGCAAGCTGAACTGGAGGGCGGGGGCAGCTGCTACTGCCTTGGAAACCACTGCGGCGGCGACTGCGCTATCCCTGTCTGGGCAGCCCAGCTCTATTGGGTTGCCTAGACAGTTCCGTGGCTGAGGAGCCATCCTTTCCCTGCAGGGCCTAAGAGACGAGACAGCTATTCGTGACGCCTGACCATCCACCCGCTGTCCATCTACGAAGCCCAGGTAAAGAAAAAGAGGTGAGATCACATAACGCGGAGACGGGAGAATGAAACGTTACAATTTGGGGGCTTCAGAATTGGTAACTTCAAGGCAAGGCAGTGGTCGGGCTACATGGTGGGAGGGAGTGAGCTTCACTTGGATGCTACCTAAGGGTAGATTTGCCTGGATTGGAGAGGGAACGCCACCCCCACCCCCACCCCCACCCCAGCCCCGCCAGGAAGGTAGCAAAGGGCAGAGGGAAAAAAATTTTCAATCTGTCTGTCCTGAAGTCCCTTTTCTCTCATTTCTTCGTGGATAGATACGGAGGTGGGAGGGTATCCAATTTCTCTTCTTTTTCTCCATGGCAGACCATCAAAGGCGATTCCAAACTGGAATTCTGTGTGGCTGATTGCGGAGCTGGTAGGCCGCTGGTTTCCCGGGTGAAGCTTATTGGGGGAGGGGTGGGCGCTTTGGCTTTTATTCTGAAGGTAGGGTTTTTCCTCCTGGCAACAATGGAGCCAGTGAAGCGATGAGGAGAAGAGACTGCTTCTGACGTCTTCTCTTCCCTTCCCTTTGCTATGGCGCAGTCTAAACTAGAGATTCGGAGCACCCGGATCTGAGAAGCCAGTGGACAGAGATCAACCCAACCCAGGACCAGAACTCACGGAAAGCACTTGTTGCAGAGACTGGGTTTAGTGAAGGTGAAGGCCAGTTCCCAAGCTCTGGTAAGAATCAAAGAATCAAATGTGACCTAATATCTTTAAGGCCTTACTCTATTGTCTTCTGTTTTGAGAGCCTGGTATGGGCTCCAAAGGCTATTGCAGCTAGAATATCAAGCAACAGTTGCTGCCTCCCCTAGAGAACAGGCAGTGAGCCCGGTGGGCTACAGTGAGAAGGGAGTGAATGTGACTGTGATGAAGAAAAACCTCACTACTACAGAGGAAGCTTCTAACATCTTAGGGTTGTTAAATGCCAGTTTCCTGCTGAATGGTTTTAGGGCAGTGGGCAAATATACAAGACTGTAAAAATGTGATTAGAAGCTTCTTTCCAAGTCCACTGTGTTTTTTTTAACTGTTTTTTTTTTCTTTTACAGTTCCTACCCAAACACAAGGAAGACAGTGCCCAGGAGCGTTGCTTTGGAGGATTCTGTCGAGTGGGCTGGTTTTGTTCGCCCAAGCATCAGATATCCAATTGTTGTCAGACATGGCTAGCATCCTTGCTGGGATGGGTAGCAGCCGAAGGCAGAATGCAGCTTTTCTGCCTTTGGCCCATTCCATGCTGAGGGCCCTGGGGAGGAGTCTTGGTCCTTTGATAGCCAACATTGCAGATAGAAACTTGAAGCCGTTCTCTGGGAAGGCAGAGCTGGCCCTGGGGGAAGAAACCTTTGAGAACTGGCTAAGCCAAGTCCAGGAGGTCTTGCCAGACTGGCATATGCCTGAGGAGGAAAAGGTCAAACGCCTGATGAGAACCCTTAGGGGCCCTGCCCGGGAGGTAATGCGTTTGTTCCAGTCTGCCAATCCCAATCTAAATGTGGCAGAATTTCTGCGGGCAATGAAACTGGTCTTTGGGGTGTCTGAGAGCAGTGTGACAGCACATGGTAAATTTTTAAACACCCTGCAGGCACATGGAGAGAAACCTTCCCTGTATATGATCCGTTTAGAGGTACAACTGCAGAATGCTATCCAGGCAGGGGTCCTTGCTGAGAGAGAGGCAAACAGGATTCGCATGCACCAGCTCCTTGTAGGGGCTGAGCTCAGTAGGGACCTGCGCATCAAGCTTAAGGGCCTTCTCCAAATGCATGCCTATAATGAGCAGGAAAGCCTTCCTGACTTCCTGGAGTTAATCAGGATGGTGAGGGAGGAAGAAGAGTGGGATGACACTTATTTTAACCATAAGCGGCCCAGAAGAGCTGAGACAATAATGGAGAGGGCCGCCAGTCCTGTAGTGTTTCAGGGCTCCCTGCCTATAGTGATAGGCAGCAACGACCGCAATGTAATAGAGATAGATGATTCCCCGGATGACTCAGATGAAGATGTGATCCTGGTGGAGACTGAGGACCCTCCACTGTCATCCCCAAGTACCCCATCCCTCAGAGGCAGAACCCCTACACAGGATGAAATGCTGGCTATTGAATCCCCCAGCGATTTTGATGATGAGTCTCCTTCCACTAGCAGTGGTTCTGGGCAAAGGAATAATGGGCCTGGGGATCTACGTAGAAGCAGAAAGCGAAAGTACCCCATCCGCTGTCCCCATTGTGGTGAGGAGGGCCATGCAAAAGAAACCTGTGACAACACCAGCAACCATGGCCAGGTTTTTGAGAATCTGATAGTCACACTGCAGGAGCTGACTCATATGGAGAGATCAAGACCCTCTGCACCATACTAAGGTGTGAGGCTCAGCCCCAGATCAATGTTTAAGTCTCTCCAGATGCTGTTTCTGGAGAAACCAAGGACAGGGTGGGCTTCAGAAGGAATTCATTAAAAAACAGTCTTCTTTGGGGGAAGAAAAGGCAGACTTGTACACATAAAGGAGACAGATGGCCCCTACATCATTTCTTGCTTATTCCCTCTGACTGCTTAATGGTTGTTTCTTTGTGTGTCTTTCTTCGGTGATTTAAATCTGTTCATAAAGTGGTATCTTTTGGAACCTGCCAAATGAAATTAAAAAAAAAACCCCTAAAGTACGTATTACCTGAAATTCTCACCCTGATACAATCATTGTCAACCCTTTAGTGAATGTTCTTCTGTGTATTTTCCTGTACCTTTGTGCCTAGATATGTATGTATAGATAAAAGTGATCAAATATAAGTGCTGTTCTATATGTATTTTTTCATCAAGCAGTATATATCGTGGACTTCTAAATAAATGAATATATAAGCATCTAATTTAATGTCATATGCGCTATCTCTTTGGGGAACATAAAAACTGAAACTAATTGTAACAGCTATATAAAGGGAAGAAGGGAAGTTGAGATGAGCTAAACATCTCTTCAAAGCCTTTTTTTTTTTTTTTTTTTTTTTTTTTTTTGGTTTTTCGAGACAGGGTTTCTCTGTGGCTTTGGAGGCTGTCCTGGAACTCACTTTGTAGACCAGGCTGCTCTTCAAAGCCTTTTATAACTATCCTGTCTCCTAGTTCACGGAGCCATCTGCAGCAACTAGTTAATGTGTCAGTGACCTCAAATGTATCATGAAGCTTGACCATGGGCCAAAGAGGGGTCGTCCCTGTTCATCTGTTTCTGCCTCACCTCTTGGCCTGAGATCAGAAGCTGGAGGTGGCATCTGATATTTGTCCTTGAGCACCTCCCTTATGGGTACATTAGTCTTTGTACTAAGGAGACTAATGGAGAGTGATTTCATACAGGGCTGACAGGAAAGAGGAATGGATGCTGATCTAAAAATCTGAAGCATCTGTAAAAGATTTATTTACATTTTGCCTACATGTATTATGAACCTAGAGAGGCCAGAAGAGGGTGTCCAATCCCCTGGAACTGGATAGGTACTGGGAACTAAATCTAGGACTTTAAGGGCATAAAGTGCTCTTAGCTGCTGAGATATCTCTGCAGCCTCGATCTGAATCATTTAACCCTAATAGGGTTTGCACAGGTCCTAGACAAAGTGTGCGGCAGTGGCAGCTGGCATGTCAGGGACAAGAGGCATACAGCTGGCCAGGTAGAAACAAGGATGACGAGAGCACATGCTGAGCAGGACAGCAGGCAGGCAGAAACAGGAAGTCTAGCAACAATTGCAGACAGCAAGTTTCACACAGAACCCAGGACACTGTGGTCTGTGGTTGAGACTCTGGTTATGTCAGTAGGCTATACGGCCCACTCGATAGGGACAATGGGAGTTCAGGCTGAGGACCTGAGTGAGGAGTAGAAGCCAGGTGCCACGTGCAACCTACACAGGCTTCTCTGGGATGCTGCACTCACAACTTGCCTTAGAGTGCTTCTGCTGGAGTCACCCTACTTGGCTTCTGCTCGGGCCTGGTCTCTGGTCCTGTTCTATCCCTATTCTCTCCCCCATATTTCTATGACTGACTGAACTCCTCAAGATGCACTGGATGCTGCAGCAGCTGCCCTCTTGGGTTTAGGTGCTGTCCCTTCAAGGAATCCGTGTCTGAATCTTCCATACACAATTTTTAGGTGCCTCATCCACCCAGTCCCAGTAGTGTTTCACCTGTTAGCCTTGGCACTCCAATTACACTTTCTCCTGTGCTTGGCAGGGTAGTCACATTTGCCACAGGTGGACTTCTGAAGGTGGTAGGACTTAGAGCCACAGGGGTGGCACAATGTGTGTGTCTTATTGCAACACTTTCCAGAGGATGATGTTCCTCTCGTCATCTTGCTTCTGCCGCCGAGGCCAAAGAGAGAGCAAAGAGATTCTGAGAGGCCCATCTCCCTCATTTTGATTATCCAACTACTGAGGCGAGGAGCCAAAATGAACTGGAATTTGCCTAGGAATGTCATGTTGGGGGAAGGAACATGTTGAAAACCAGAGGCAGCCAGAGCAGGAACTTTTCTCCTGTGACACTGAACAAGGTTCTGACAACCTAGCAAAGCACCTTGCAGAAAGCTTAAAGCTATGCACTCAGGTGTCCTTTATTCAAAGCTTAACCGAGGTTAGTGCCTGGGAAATGGACTTGACGTTCACTGTACCTCCTCAATCTTTCCTGGCTGGCCTGGAACTCATATGCAGACCAATCTTGCCTCAGATTCAGAGATTCACCTGTCTCTGCTGGAATTAAAAGTGTGCACCACCACACCCAGCAAGTCTCTTTATTCGTTCCTCTTCTCAATATGACCATGTCATGTCTCTTTACTCTGATTGTCATTATCACTTGTCTCTTTAATTGGTCTGCTGATGGTGGATAGCTGAGCCTAGCTCATTAGTGTTGCCAGGGCCCACACTGTAACCCTGACAACACTGAAAACACCTTCATTATCCCAAACCTACAGCAAGATTGTATTATCTGTCCTGGGCTATGGCTTTTTCAACTAGCTACTTGAATTTATCAACAATTCTCCTGACTGAAATATATACATCATCTTTTTATGCATTATAATGCGAATAGGAGCCACAGCTTATGGAATCTCTATTCTGCTTGTTTTTTTTTTTATTTAAATTCTCACATTCAGTCTTCGCAAGTTCTTTTAAGGTATCCCTCTATTATATTGCATGTGGGTTCACAGATGAGGACTCAAGAGCCCAACAAGGAAGTATGGGTGAAAAGTTAAGGGTAAACAAGTCAGAGGCATTGTCTCTTTAAATATTCACAATGACCTTATGAGTGAGTTATCATCACAAATGAGCAAGGGGGGGGGCTGCAGCATCCACAAACCAAGCAGCATTTCTGCTCTATCCTGAGATGAAGTTACTTAGATTTTTCGAACTATAACCGTTCCTATAAAACCTCGATGAAAGTAAATAAGCAATGATTATTTTAATGGAGAGACATATATTGTACATTGATTAGAATACTCAGTAACTCAAAGTAAAGGAAACAGATACAAAACACAGCAAAGATGCCACACTTGTACCCTGCTTTTGCATAGCATGGTGACACACACTTTTAATTCCAGAACTCAGGAGACTAAGATATAAGCTCAAGGTTACAGCACATCAGAAGACTGTCTGAAGTACACAGTGAGAATGTGTCTCAAAAGAGAGTAGTTAACATAGTAAAGGTGTAATTTTTCTCAAAGTGATCTCTATATAATTATATAAGTATATGTAGTTTAATATAATTACTACCAAAATCTCATGAGGTTTCTCACAGATGTAGTCAAGCTCATTCTACAACATATAAGAAAAAGTAAAGAAATGAGAATATCCAAAACACATTTGAATGAATAAACTAGTGATAATCACTCTATTAGATATTAAAATTTATTATGTAGGCAGCATCTATTGAGATTGTGCTCCTGGAGTTGCATTAAAAAGAAACTAGAAATGAGCAGAGGACCATTAAACAGACAAACAGAAATACACCCACTGATATTCAGTAAATGGAAGATGGAAACAAAGAGATAATGCTGGTGCTCGTCTCAGCTTCTCCTTTTTATTCGATCTGGGATACCAGCTCATAGGATGCTGTAACCTTTATTTAAGGCAAATTTTCCCTTCTAAGGTAAATCTCTCTAAAATTGCACTTACACAAAAGCACAGAGCTGTCTCCTAGGTGACTCTAATATCCTATTAAATTGGAAACAAAACTTAATCATTATAATTCCACCTCCTGCCAGCCTGGCAACCAAACACAGCACCTTAACAGTCTACTCTGGTGGCTAACGTCTCATGCTCATCTCAGAATGCATTTGGTTTATCTCTAAAAGCTCCCATAGGCTTTAACAGTTCCATTTTTGCTCAAAAAATCAAATTCTCTTCCAAGACCCAAGCACATCTCTTAGTTTTGAGCACCTATAAAATCAAAATACAAGTTGAACACGTCTGATATACAATAGCAAAGATATAAACATCCCTATCCCAAAGGGGGAAAATGGGACAGCAGCAAGGAAAGATTGGATTAAAACAAAACAAAACCCCAGCAGAACAAACACCTAATCCTATAGCTCCATGTACATGATGAAATGGTCTGAGCCCTAAATTTGGGCAGCACCAGCACTCCAGTTCTGTCACCTACAGAACAGGTGACTTTTATCTTGGGCTTGATCTACTTTGTGCTTGCAAGCTTCTCTCGGTGGACGAGCACAACTCTAGAATTTCCAAGGTCCTGGTCTCTCACCTTCCCAACTCTGTGCAACACCTTTTGTGGGTCTCTTTCCAGGGAACCCAATCAAGCCATACAGTGCCAGGATTCAGGTGATTTCTGGAACCCTGGAGCAAGTCTTCACGACTCACTCACACTTGCTTCTTGGATGCCTGCAAAAGCCCCATGAATGATTATGCTGAGTTCTACTTACAGTTTGAGATACACCTGGTTCTATGAGATCATGGTTTCAGTGGGCCTTGTGTGCCTTTGATGTTGACCCTGGGAAAACATTTTCCTCTGCGTCCATTGTGGAGCAATGAGCCACTCTGAGGTATTCTTGATTTAGGCTCCGTTCCTTATCAAACTACAACTTTTTCCTTTCTGCTTCACTTGTTGCTCCTTCTCACTATAATGGCACCCCAACCTCAATGCTATCCTGCCTTGAAACTCCCTCTGCTGAACAAATTAGTACATAAATTTTTTGCTTGTTACTTTTGAATTCAGCTTCACTCAAGTTCTCTGGACATGGGCAGAATGCGGCCATATAATACACATGAACTTTAAAATTAGGATTAAACAAAAGTAACTTTTTGTTCTATAAAAGACTGAGAACAAACTCCTAAGCTATAGACTGGGAGAATATATTTGAAAATCAAAAATATAACAACATATTGGTATTTAAAGCATTATGCTTGCACACAGAGTCAATGCAATTCTTGTAAAAATTCCAACAATGTTCTCCACAGAACTAGAAAAAAATCCTAAAATTCATAAGGAAGCACCAAAGACCTTGAATTAGCCAAAGCAATCTTGAGCAGAAAGAACACTGCTAGAAATATCCTAATATCTCATTTAAAATTGTGTTTCAAGAATACAGTAACAAAAACAGCACAACAGACATGCACTAGAAGAGGGGGTCCATAAATAAACCTATGCAGCTACAACCACTTGATTTTCAACAAAAGAGCAAGACACATGCAAATAGTTCTGGGGAAATTATAAATGAAATAAAGAAACTAGATTCCTGATTCTTACACGGAACAAAAATTAATTCAGCTTCACATAAACTATGAAGCCGCTGGGGGAAAAAAAACACAGGAGACATATTTCAAAAGATACCCATAAATTCCAGCATGGTAAGCTTCTTGCCTACAGTACATCAAGACTGGCTCAGTGT